GATTCCCGGGAATCTCGTAAACCCCGCCCTGATCCCGTCCCTTCCCGTGTCCCAGCGCCAAGAACCGGCACCACCTGCACCCTGATCCCACTTTTGGGAGGAATCTCCGGGATTTCCGACCCCCCCCGGGCTCCCTGCTCCTGTCAGGGGTTGTAGGGATGGAAAAGGTCCCCCCCGAGCCCCCTTTTCTCTGGGATGAGCCCCCCCAGCTCCCTCTGGAGTTCTCCTGTCTCTTCCCACGTCCCAGCACGAGGAACTCGTGCCCCCCGTGCCCTGATCCCGGCTTTGGGACGAATCTCGCTGATCTCCAACCCCCCCGGGCTCCCCACTTCTACCGGGGGGTTGTAGGGATGGAAAAGTTCCCCCCCAAGTCCCCTTTTCTCTGGGATGAGCCCCCCCAGCTCCCTCCGGAGTTCTCCCATCCCTTCCCACGTCCTGGCATGAAGAACCCGCAACCCCCGCGCCCTGATCCCGGGTTTGGGAGGAATATCCCGGATCTCCAACCCCCCTCGGGCTCCCCGCTCCTGTCAGGGGTTGTAGGGATGGAAAAGGTCCCCCCAAGTCCCCTTTGCTCCTGGATGAGCCCCCCCAGCTCCCTCGGGAGTTCTCTTGTCCCTTCCCATGTCCCAGCATCAGGAACCCACACCCCTGTGCCCTGATCCCCGGTTTGGGAGGAATCTTCCGGATCTCCGAACCCCTCGGGCTCCCTGCTCCTGTCAGGGGTTTGTAGGGATGGAAAAGGTCCCCCCCGAGCCCCCTTTTCTCCGGGATGAGCCCCCCCAGCTCCCTCCAGAGTTCTCCCACCCCTTCCCATGTCCCAGCATGAGGAACCCACACCCCCGTGCCCTGATCCCGGGTTTGGGAGGAATCTCCCAGATCTCCAACTCCCCTGGGCTCCCCACTCCTGCCGGAGGTTGTAGGGATGGAAAAGGTCCCCCCCAAGCCCCCTTTTCTCTGGGATGAGCCCCCCCAGCTCCCTCGGGAGTTCTCCAGCCCCTTTTCCAGCTCTGGACTCGCTCCAGCCACTCCACATCTTCCTCGGGGACCCCAAAAGTGCCCCTGGATGGGACCCAGCGGCCGAGGGGAGCCCAACCCTCCCATCCGAGCGTGAGGCCCTTGAGCAATTCCTGTGAATTCCCTTTTTTTCCTGAGCGCAGCAGATGGGAAAGATAAAAACCCTCCTGGCCCCTCTCCAGGAAAAACTCCGGCAGCTCATCAAAGGCCTGTGGGTTTGGGCTTGGGCTTCCCGGGTTTCAACACCCTGCAGGATCCTCCTCCTCCTCTGCCTCCCTCCAGAGGGTGTCCCAGGGATGTTCCAGGGCTGTTCCTGTCCTTGGAATCTTCACTGGGATGTGGAAGAGGGAAATGATTTCAGATTCTTCACTGGGATGAGGAAGAGGGAAATGACTTTGGAATCTTCACTGGGATGAGGAAGAGGGAAATGACTTTGGAATCTTCACTGGGATGAGGAAGAGGGAAATGATTTCAGATTCTTCACTGGGATGAGGAAGAGGGAAATGACTTTGGAATCTTCACTGGGATGAGGAAGAGGGACATGACTTTGGAATCTTCACTGGGAGGAGGAAGAGGGAGATGATTTTGGAATCTTCATTGGGATGAGGAAGATGAAGATGATTTCAGATTCTTCACTGGGATGAGGAAGAATGTGATGACTTCTTGGGTGCCTCCAATCCCAACCTATAAATTTCAGGGTCAGAAATGTCCCTTTTTAACCAAACAAGAGGATGAGGTGCATTGACACCTGGTGGAAACACCAGATTCAAAGTCAGGAGGGTCACCTGGAAGGAAATTTGGGGCAAAATAGAAGGGAAATAACAGTGGTTCGAATAAAAAAAACACCCATTTCTCCCTTGATTTGTCCATTTAGACAACAAGGACTTGGCACTTTGGAGCTCCTCCACTTCCACATTCCCTCTGCACCAGATCAATCCCAGAATCCCGGGGTGGTTTGGGTTGGGAAGAACCATTCCAGAGCCACATCACTCTCCCAGGGAGGAATTTATTCCCAATATCCCACCTAACCCTGCCATCTTCCAGCTGGAAGCCCCTCATCCCTTGTCCCATCACTCCTTGTCCCAAAGTCTCTCTCCAGCTCTTGGAGTCCTCAGGGAACAAAAATGACCTTTAAAAGTCACTTCCAACCCAAACTGTTCCATCATCCCATGGAAATAATCAGGTGGGAATACAGGGAAAGCTGCTCAACCTTGGAATAATTGAGAGGAAAACCATAAAACCATGGAATGGTTTGGGTTGGGAGGGACATTAAAGCTCATCCAGTTCCCTGCCACAGGCAGGGACACCTCTCACTATCCCAAGTGGATCTAACCTGGCCTTGGACACTCCCAGGGATCCAGGGGCAGCCACAGCTCCTCTGGGAAATCCATTCCAGGGCCTCCCCACCCTCCCAGCCAGGAATTCCTTCCCAGTATCCCGTCTATCCCTGCCCTCTGGCAGTGGGAAGCCATTCCCTGTGTCTGTCCCTCCAGCCCTTGTCCCCAGTCCCTCTCCAGCTCTCCTGGAGCCCCTTCAGGCCCTGGAAGGGGCTCCAAGCTCTCCCTGGATCCTTCCCTTCTCCAGGGGAACACCCCCAGCTCTCCCAGTCTCTCTCCATGCCAAAGGTTCTCCAGCCCTCGGAGCAGCTCCGTGGCCTCCCCTGGGCTCATTCCAGCAGCTCCCCGTCCTCCCTGTGCCTGGAATCCCCCCTGGAGGCCCCTCTGGATTTTGTGGCCGGGTCCCACCAACCTCCCACCCTCCAACACCCCCAAGTCCTTCTCCTCAAGTCTCTCCCGGTTCTTTCCCCCCCCAGCCCCAGGGTATGTTTGGGATCACCCTGACCTGGGACAAATCCCATGTCCCCTCCCCCGGGGACCCTCGGAGTGACAAAACACAGGAACATCTTCATCTCTCTGCAGTTTATTGGGGATGAAAGAACTCGGGGGTGGGAAGCAGCAGGTCCACGGGACAGAAGGTGGGCGATGGAGCCCCTCACGTGCCAGGTGGGAAGGAGAGGAGGGAAAAGGATCCGTCAAACATTAAAGCTGCCAAATGACTCCACCGGGGGAAGGTGGACAACTCCAGGGACCCGTTTCTCGCTCCTCGAACTGACCGTGGGGCTTCGGCCCCTCCCTCCTGCTCGGGTGGGGTCCTGGCAGGGCTGAAATGGGTGGTGGGACACCGGGGGGGGGACATGGACCTTCCAAAGGGACAGGAAAGAGCAGTTGGACACGGATTCCTCCTCAGCCAGAGCGGCAGCCCCGGGGCGGCAGCGAGGGGGGAGCTTTGAGTCTCCAGGGAGATGTTTCACCCCTGGGGGGGTTCAGCGAGGGGTCAGAGCGGGCCGGCAGGGTGAGGTC